TCTCTGGGTAGGGTCCTGCTCTCCGCTCTTCTCCCTTGATGGTCCCAGGGACCTCCGCTCCTGGACTGCAAAGTCAATCACTCCCCTCCTTTTGCTACAAATCGTCTACCTTTACATTTCCAACCCTCACAGGCAGTCCTGAGTAACAATTATTCACTGTTGTACCACATGAATGTTATCCCATCTCCTTTCATCAGCCCCACCCAGACAAATTGGATAATACTTAGTGGAGATTCTACCTTCCTCCGCGCCCTCTGAATCTAGGCTCCCACTTGAAAGCTTGTAACCCGGTCACTTCTTGCCTTTGTAGCTCCCCCATTTTGGGTAGCCAATGTCCAAGTTGCCCATCCCTGTCTACAATGTGTATGGAGGAGATGGGAATGATCCTTGCTGTAAAGATTTGTTCCCTCTTTTGAGCTACTGCATCCATTTGTGTAGGTCAAGTTCATCAAATTGTATCAGATTACTTTTTTTCTCTTCTTTCTTCTTCTAGTTGAGTTCTGATCATCCAGTCATTGAAGCCAGGTCAAGTGGGTTTTATCTGCAAGTGTGGGTGTTCTTGTGCATATGCCCAGTCTTCTTATCAGCTGGATGCTTCACTCTCCACTCTAGTTCTCTGTGGCTATGTCACTGCCTCTGGGCCCAGGAGTCCCAGATCTTGCCAAACTTCTGGCCAACCAGGTCTCCACTCGGGTTCACAGGAGTCTATTGAACGTGGTTGGACTTAGCTCACAGCTTCATTGCTGTTTTTCTCTCACTTCCCCTTACTGATGACCAACGTGGCCACCAGTCAGAGCTCATGTCTGCTCGTGTATTCCCGTTGAGTCTTGGTCTTGGAAGGGGTTTGCCCTGAGGGGACCTGACCACTTGCCTTGATGTCTCCTGGGAGAGCTACTTGTTTGTTCTTGTAGTAATCAGTCTGACTGCCATTATTGTTTTGTATTTTTCCTGTTGGTCTTTCTTTCAAGAAGTATCTTCTGTTCTTTTAGCCGCTCCAGGCTGGTCTGCTTGTCCTTTCAAGTGGCAGTTTCCAACCTCAGAAGATTCTAGATGGGGTTCAGGATTCCACCTATGGTCTTATGTAATGCAAAGGCTCCACAGGAAGCCTCCTTTACTGTAGTCCCCTTTTTTTTGTTACAAAACTTCTACCTTTATAATTGTGACAGTCACGATTAGTCATGATAACAATTACTCACTATTGAATCATAAGAATCTTATCCCCATCTCTTTTTACCAGACTCATCTAGACAAGGTGAAAACTATTCAGCAGGGATTGTTTCTTTCCCCACACGCTGTTAAACTAAGCTCCCCCTTGAAACCTTGTAAGCCAGTCACTCCGTGCCTTTATCGCCCCTCATTTTGAGTAGCCAATGTCTAAGTTGACCTCTTGGTCATGTTTTGCTGGCTTCCCTTTGTCATCATTTCTTTTAGTTGACTGAATGTCCTCTTTGATCAAAGAGTCTGTCCTTTGCCCTTTTTTTTTTTAAATTGAATCGTTTTGTTTATTTGTTCTTGAGATACTGAAGGTTTTTTTAATATATATTTTAAATATTAGACCTTTATTAGGTCATTGAAGGAAAAAAAAAAAATTCCAGTCTATAGGTTCTCTTTTTACTCTTCCAGTGAAATCTTTCGATAAGCAAATATATTTAATTTGGGGGCCTCCCAGTTCTCTAGTTTGACTTCTGTTTGTGTCTAGTTGTTGGAAAGCCTGTTTATACCATAAGTTAGGGTTTGTGCTTACATTATATTCCAGGAACTTTACAGTTTTAGATTTAACATTTAATTAAGTCTTTTAATCTACTTTACATTTGTTTTTGTGTATGGTGTGAGATATGGATCCTGTTTCATTTTTCTGCAAATGGACACCCAGTTTTGCCAGACCATATGCTAAATAAACGAGATCATTTTTCCCCATTGAATGGACTTCAACTCTGTTGATGATCAGTTGTTCCTAGTTGGATGGACATGCTTCTGGTTCTCAATTCTGGTTCACTGGTCTGTGTGTATGTCCTTGTACCAGTACAAGGCTGTTTTGATTATATGGCTATGTAGTAAGTTTTGAAGTCATGAGGCCTTTTACTTTGTTCTCCTTTAATAATGCTTTAGCGTTTCAGGACTTCTTTTCTTTCCATATAAAATTGGAGATTCGTTTTTGTATTTCATTGAAGAATATTGTTCAGGATTGGCTTGGGTTTGTATTCTATCTATATAGGTCACTTTGGTTACTATGGACATTGTCACAGTGTTAACTCCTCCAGTCCATAAGCGTGCTATGGTTTTCCATCTAAGTCCATTTCTTTTGGTTTCATGCATTAATATTTTGTAGTTTTCTTTGTATAAGTCCTTTATGTCACTAGTTATATTTATTCCTTTGGGGGGAGCTGTTGTAAATGGTATTGTTTTCTTGAATTCCTTTTCGAAATACTTGTTAGTGTAGAGATATCCAACTCATTTTTGTATATTCATCTTGTACCCTGTCACTTTACTGAGCCCATCTGTTAGTTCCAGTAACTTTTTTGTGGCATCTCTGGATTTTTCTGTGTATAAAATCATGTCATATGCATATATAGAAATAGTTTTACTTCTTCCCTACCAATTTGGATGACCTTTATTGCACTTTCTAGGACTTTCAGTGCAATATTGAATAGGAGTGGTGATACGAGACATTCCCATTCTCAAGGGAAATGCTGTCATACTCTCTCCATTGAGAATAATGTTGGTTGTTGATTTTATACCTATGCCTTTAATTTATTTATTTTTCATATGCCTTTAATTTTTTTGAGGAATTTCCTTCTCTTCCTTTTTTGAGTTTTTATTGGGGAAAGGTGTTAGATTTTATCAAATGTCTTCTCTGCATTGATTGACATAGTCATGTGAATATTTTCCTTTGTTTTAAATATATGGTGAATTACATTGATCAGTTTCCTAATATTGAACCACCCATGCATCCCTAATTGTGAAGTCACATCTGACTGTGAAATACTATTTTATTGGTATGCTATTGTATTCTGTTGGCTAGAATTTTGTTAAGAATTTTTGGGTCTAAATTCCTAAGGGATTTTGGTCTGTAATCTTGTCTCTTTTTTTGTGTTACCTTAGGTGTCCTAGAATGAATTAGGGAATATCCTTCTTTTTGTTCTTTCTGGAATAATTTGAGTAGACTTGGTGTCAATTATTCTCTGAATGTTTATACAACTCTCTAGTGAAGCCATCTGGGTCAGAACTTGCTTTTGTTTCGAGTTTTTTGTTGTTGTTGTTGTTGTTTTAATGACATCTTCAATTTGTTATGGGCCTATTCAGGGTTTCTACCACTGCTTGTTAGCTTAGGTAGGTAGTGTGTAGAAATCAATTACTTTTCTTACAGGTTTTCAAATCTATTAGATTTCTGTAATAGTTCTTTTTATCTCAGTTGGTCCTGTTGTAATGTTCCTCATTTTCATTTTTTAGTTTATTTGTGGCTTCTCATTTTCTTCATTTGTCAATTTGTCAACTTTATTGATTCTCTTGAGTCAACTTCTAATTTTTTTATTTCTTTTCGATTATTTTTCTGGTTTCTATTTCATTTATTTCTGCTCTCATCTTTATTATTTCTATTCTTCTGGTACTTCTTTTTCTGTTCCTTCTGTATTTGTTCAAGTTGTTGGGTTAAATTACAGATTTGGTGCCTTTATGTATGTGTATTTATTGCCATAAAATTTCCCCTGAGAATTACTTTTGCTGTGGCCCAGAGGTGTTGGTATGTTGTATCTTCATTTTCATTTGATTCTAAGAATTTTCTAAGTTTGTTTGAAACTTTTCCTGTAACCTAGTCGTTTTTATGTGAGGTGTTATTCTGTTTCCACATTTGTTTGTTTGTTTGTTGCTCTTTCTGTTATTGTGCTTTGTAATGTGTTGATTTTTTATTTATTGAAACTTGTTTTTTGGCCTGGAATATGGTCTGTTCTGGAGAAGGGTCTGTGTATACTGGCTGTGGTCTCCACAGAGCACAGAAGTTTTAGGAGAAGGGTTGAAAAATTGGAATTAAAAGATAATGTGGATGTTATCAAAACTGTTTAAAGTTCTCATATATATGATAAGTTTAAAGAGAATATGTAAGAGGACTTTAAACAGTTTATGTATATGTATATATATATATAGGAGCTCTGGTAGCGTAGTGGTTACGAATCGGGCTGCGAACCTTAAGGTCAGCGGTTCGAAACTACCAGTTGCTCCGCGGGAGAAAGATGAGGCTTTCTACTCCCGTAAAGATTTACACCCTCGGAAACCCTGTACAGGGTCGCTATGGGTCGGAACCGACTCGATGGCACTTAACAACAACAACAACATATATATATATGATGCACTGATGGCACAGTGATCAAAGTGTTGGTAACTTTTGCTAACCAAAAGTTTAGTGGTTCAAATCCAAGTGCCCTGAGGGAGAAAAGAGCTGATGATCAGTTCCAATAAAGATGAAAGCCAGGAACTCTTATAGGGTGGTTATGGTCTGGACTGTAGGGTCCCTCTGAGTCAGAATCACCTCAGCAGCAAGTATGAATACAGCAGGTGTTTCAGGTAGGTTGAAAGAAATATTCTTGGTACATTTCATGAGAAAGGCATTCAAATTTTAAGAAATTTTTAATCCGACATTTTCATGTAAGCTAGGCTAGAGCCAAGAATTAAAATCAAATAAGGAGCACATATTTCCGTATGCTAAGCACAGCAAGTCCGGGTATGGCACTGTAGGATAAGCACTGGAATACTAACCACGGTCAGCAGTTCAAACCCACCAGGTGCTCCTTGACAACTCTATACAGGGTTGCTATGAGTTGGAACTGACTCAATGGCACTTAACAACAACAAACACAGGAAAGTAACCAAAAATGTAAAATAATTCTTGACCTCAAAGGACTTATAATCAGATTACTCTCTTATCCCACACTGTGTAGAATTTCAAAGTAACACTACTTTTATCACCTTTTTTTAAAAATTGCTCTTTTGACTTTCCTTGGTTTTAGAGTCCTTTGTCATGGATAAAAGGCTTGAAGTGGGGGGAGTACGTAGGCTCCCCCAGTGCCCCAGTACCTGTGGTCTGCTTCAGCCAACCCCACGGAGAAAGATTTGGCTCCCTCCAGGCTCTGCCCACAAGGGCCATCTGTGGCTTGTCCCGAAACTTCTGTCTTCTGATGACGTACAGCAAAGAACAAGGTAAAATGAAAGGGCAATAGAAATCATCTAAGACATGTCTTCCCTACTATTTGAATGTCTCAAGCTCATCTGTGCCATTTTATTTCTAAAGTTTTCTAAGTTCTCAGTAGAAAACTATCAAATCATGATTATTTCATTCAGTGTAAGAATTAAAGCATGCTATAGAGTCCTGGTATGGCACCATAGAATAAGCACTAGACTGCTAACCACAAGGTCTGCTATGCAAACCCACCATCCACCCCTCAGAAACCCTATGCAGGGTCTCTACAAGTTAGAAGTGACTCAAAGGCACTTAACAACAATAACATGTAAAGAAACCAGAAATAAATGCAATGCCGTTTGAAGCAATAGGTCACATTTGAAGGAGACAGAAATAAATGAGCATGCTCCCAGAATAAAGCAGTATCATTTTGATACTTCCACTTGAGGACTTGGAGTCCCAAAACAGATGGATGTAATTGACCAACAAATCTGTTATTGCAGAAGATGCAGCCCTGAGAGCCAAACCAGCCAACAAACAAGGGACTCAGAGTAGCCTTGGAAATGCAAGGGGGCTTCAAAAGTTTATGGAAAAATCAAATGATCTTTTAATTATATTTTCCCACGAACTTTTTGAAGCTCCCTCAAATTAAAAAAACAACAACCCTGAGAAGCAGTTCTTTTGTGGGCCTCTTACACAGGCTCACTAAAAGCACCATGTGGGAAGTGGTGCAAAGGCCCTGTTCAGATCGCCAGATGTCCGCTGAGTCATCCCTACAAATGCAGCCACTGCCACTCAGCTGCTCTTGACTGTGTAGGGTTTCTGGAGCTGTACATCGTAATGTGAGCAGAAAGCCTCACTTTTCTCCTGCAGAGCAACTGGTGGGTTTGAACTGCCAACCTTGCAGTTAGCTATTCAGTGCGTATTCTTCAGTATCAACCTAAATTAACCATTTCACTAAATGCAAAAAACCTCTCCCCTCTGACTTGTCATGGGGCCGTAACAGGAGTGTCAGGTTGTATGCTGTTTGCCCGATGGCCACTTTGTGGACTGCATGCTTCCTAGCAGTGCGTACCATTAGTGGTCAACAGTGCTTCTTACCAGCACCCTGCGCCTGGAGTCCGGAAACTTTCCACTAGCTCTGCATTACAAGGATGCCCACCCCCATGCCAAACAGCTCCCTTAAAGGAATGAAAGTGTGCTCCCGGGACTCAGTCTAGAGTCTATCATGGATTGAATGGTTGCTTTTATAGTTTGAGGAACAAGAAGGGAGCACAGTACTTCTGTAGGGTAAGCACTGGACCGTGGACGACAAGCCCACCAGCTGCTCTGAGGAAGAAGGAAGAGGCTTTCTGCTCACACAAAGGTACAGCCTCAGGAGCCCTGTATGGGGTTGGTATCAGTAGGAATCAACTTAACAGCACTTCACAATAACAAGAACTAAGAAAGGATGCATACTGTTTCATTAAAGCTTAGTGAGTTCATGGAAAATCATTATATGTTTAATGAAATTGCAATAGGATTTCTTCTCACTTGTATTTTGCAGTTAGTTGTAAGATGTGTTATAAGTAGTTCACTACTAATAATGCTTAAAATAGGAAAACTTGTTAATGATCTGCCATCAATAATAAATTAGAGTCGCTTGAGACTGAAGATTAGAATATTGTTGTTAAATGCCATGGAGTCAGTTCCAACTCATAGTGGCCCTATCTAGGGTTTCTGAGGAGAGGCTGGTAGGTTTGAACCACCTACCTTGTGGTTCAAACCAATCTTATGGTCCAGTGCTTATCCTACAGAGAACACACCAGGACTCCGAAGATGAGAACTTTGAAGCAAGTATCTTTTGAGCGGAAGAGAAAGGACTAGTATTATGCTTAGCATTGTGGGTGTTATATATGTGGAATGTAATTCCCAACCCGTCTTATTTGTGCCATTACAGTCACAAGCCTTCATTGTGCCCTTGATAGCTGTGTTCATTCAAATTTCCCTGTACTTTCTTGCAAAATGAATTTGGGATTTGTCAAAATCGAGAAAAGTCCAAAGAGGTCATGTAGCATGATGCTTCTGGCTGTGACCTCAGGTTGGTGACTTCCTAGCTGTGTGACATGGGGAGAGTGGCTTAAGCTGTCCAGGTCCTGATGTTTGGCCTGGAAAAATGGGAATAACAGCAGGATTTACTTCACAGGGTAACTAATTATAAGGTGTGGAAATGCTTAGCCCAGTGCCGGGCTCGTTAATGGACTGAGAACATTGTGGAGTCAGGGACCAGTGCCTAGTAGTCTCCGCAGGCCCACTGCGGGGCCACTGAATAGGGTGTACAGGTGAAAGTTAGGTCATGTTTGAATGGCTAGAAAATATTAAGTTTTATTGTTATATAAATAACAACTAGGTCGCTATTGTTAAGTACCATCGAGCCATTTTTGACTCATAGTGACCGTGTGTAGGGTTTCCGGGGCTATACGTGTTTGCAGGAGCAGAAACAACCTCATCTTTTTCCCATGGAGTGGCTGGTGGGCTCGAACCACTGACCTTGTGATCCACAATCCATTGCTTATCCTACAAAGCCACAAACCAGGTAGTTTTGCATAATTATATATATATATATATATATATATATATATAATACAATGAAACAACTAGACTGAGATGGCCCAGTAGAGGCCAATTACTTAAGAACTGTGCCTCAAAATTACCTGAGTGCTTTCTATCAAAATATACTTACTCACTTGGGTCCCACTTGAAATACACTAGAGCCTGAGTTTGATCCTACGCATGTTGAAAACGCAGTTTCATCGTGAGCTTTGATTTAAGATTCACTGTTCTAATAACGAGTAGCTCAGTCATTCACTACTCATGGTGACCCCTGTGTATGTCAGAGTAGAACTCTTGTCCCTAGACCTCTTCAGTGACTGGCTTTTTGGCAATAGACCCCCATACCTTACGGTGCCTCTGGTTGGGCTCAAACCGTAGCCCTTTGGTTAGCCGCTGAGCACATGAACCCTTTGCCCCCAAGCACTCACAGTTCTAACAGGCAACTGAAAAGTCTATTTTCTGTAAAAAAAAAAAAAAAAAAAAGAAAGTGCATTTTGTATTGCTGTAATGAGAAATTGGAAGAGTTATTAAATACGTTTTGTTCATATATTTCATGTTCAGGTTATTGAGAACCTGAATTAGGGAAGGCTCTGAGAGGGCCTGAGCCCTAACTGGAAGGTTGGTAATTGGAACCAGTCAGCACCTCCAAAGGAGAAAGATGTCACAACCTGATCCCTAAAGACCGTCAGGCTTGGGTACCCAATAGAGCACTTCTCCTGTGGGGTCACTAGGAGTCAGAGTCAACTCAATGGCAGTTGGTTTAGTTTGGTTGGTGCCAGATTTAGTAAGTTTATTTCAGTTCCTTTATTGCTAGGCTCATGTCAACATTTGGTAGTATGCTCTGCAAAACAGAAAGATATCTATGTATTTCATTTTCAATGTATTATTGATTTACTAAAAAAAAAAGACGTATTCTACGCTGAGTATGTTGTTAGGTTATAGATTAAACAAAGCACTTCTTTCTTCTTAAGTAATTTAAAACACTCTCTGTTCCAAGGGCAGTACCACATTTATGGCATTTATGCTACATTTGGGAGCATGGTGCCTCCATATGATAAGCACTGGACTGCGAACCACAAGGTTTGTGGTTCAAGCCCACCAGCCACTCCATGGGAGAAAGATGAGGCTTTCTGCTCCCTGGAAGATTGAAAGCCTCAGAAACCCTACTCAGGGTCGCTATGTGTCAGAATGGACTTGATGGCACTTAACAACAATGATAATGGTGCATTTAGCTATATTCAGCATACCAACAAGACACAAACTGAGATCGGTGTCAAAAGAGGATATCACTTTTGGTAAATTTTTATGCCACATGGCGTCGTGTTCTTTTGTAAAGGAATCGAGAGAGAGAAGATAAGCTCGTTGACTGAAGGTCCCCACACAAAGTTCCTGAAGTCATCATCCCCTTTCAGGGCAAGTGTTGCTTCTGTTTTGGCAAAGCCCTCTTTCGAATGCCAATCATTGTCTCTTCTGATTTAACCAGGGGAGATCCAGAATAGTCACTTAAACAATACTGATTTTATTTTTCTCTTTGTAAGGAAAGGTGTCTCAGAACCTAAAGCATTAAGCATTGTCTCTTACAAGAATTTCTGAACAAAAGCTTCAGATCTGTGTTAAGTAAATCCCCATCAAAAATACCATGAACAGAAAAGAATAGTTACATTCTAAGAATCCTCTTAATGTGACAGAATATTGAATGATTTGCACTGGGATGGAATTGTGTTCTGCTCTATAAACTTTGACTTTCCACCTGCCACTCTTCAGGCAGTCAGGTGACCCCAGAGTGGCAGCTGTCTGACGCGTCTGTCCCTCCTTGTCTTTGAGGTGTGAGAAGTATGAACAGCACCGACGTGCAGTGGTCAGCTATCCTGAGCTGGGGCTATGCCGATAACATTTTACGGTTGAAGAGTAAACAAAGTGAGCCTCCGATAAACTTCATACAAAGTTCCCAACAGTACCAGGTAAACTTTTCTGTGAAATACTTGAAAATCGTTCAATGTAACACTTGGAAAAGGAGCCAGACTAATGGCAGCTGTAGCCGGCGTCTGTCCAATCCAAGAAGCTACTGGTGGTGTACCTCCTCTAACAGTGGGGATAGGCCTCTCCTGTTTGTGGTGTGCTGGCTATGTCCTCAGGTTTGTTTTCTCCCCATTGTCTCATGGAGAGAGTATCGTATCATAAGCTGTTCTTACTCAGCGCCAGCTGATGGCCCAAGGTTAGAATGAAATCAGCCTCCTTCCTTCTCAGTGCTCTTAGACTGCAGAGCCACTTCTGGAAGCAGTGTGCCACCGTCTGTACCTGACTCTAACTCGATGGGCCAAATCAAGCATCATGATATATGATATAGCAGAAAGAATATTGGGCTGAAAACCCTGTGATTTGGATTCATGTCCCTTACTTTGTTATTTACTAACTATGTAGTCCTGAAGATGTAACTTAACCTTTCTAAACATGAATTTCTAAACAAGGAAATAGTATCATAGTACTCACCTATAGAAGTCCTGGTGTGGTGCTGTGGGTTAATGTGCTGGGCTGCAAAGTCAGTTTGAACTGCAAGGGCAGCAGTTCAAACTCACCAGCTGCTCCTCAGAAATCCCATACAGGGTCACAGTGGATCAGAACTGATTTGATGGCACTTAACAACAACAACAACAACAACTCGCTCATAAGGGAGTGTGGTGACTCTGTAGGAACGGGGTCAGCAGTTCGAGTCTGCAGGAGAAAGATGAGGCTTTCTGCTCCAGTAAAGGGTTATGGCCTGGGAAACCCTAGACAGGGTTACTATGAGTCAGAACCAGTGCAACAGTGCTAAACAACTGATAAGGATGTTGTAAAAGAGTGTCCCGTGTTTGTGGAAGTACTTTGTAAATTATGAAGCATCAGGGAAATGCACAGTACTGCCCAATGTTTGTGTTTTATGCAGGGAACCCGGATGGTACAGTGGTTACGTGCTCAGCTGCTAACTGAAAGGTCATTAGTTCAAACCATCAGCCTCTCTTCAGGAGAACGATGGGGCAGTCTGATTCCTTAGAGAATTCCAGCCTTGGAAACTCATGGGACAGTTCTATTTTGTCCTACAGGTTCACTGTGAGTCGGGATCAACTCAAGGGCCCATAAAAACAGTAGTCTGTGTGCGAGATCTTTTTCCTTTGACTTTCTGTGTGAAGGTTCTTTTTACCTTTTTTTTTTTACGAATTGGGCTGCGAACCTTAAGGTCAGCAGTTTGAAACTACGAGCTGCTCCACGGGAGAAAGATGAGGCTTTCTACTACTGTAAAGATTTACAGCCTTGGACACCCTGTACAGGGTCACTATGAGTCGGTTCCAACTCCACAGCACGTAACCACCATCACCTATATAATGGAATCCTGGTGTGGTACTGTAGGATACAGCACTGGATCATGAAGTCAGTTTGAACCACAGGGCTGGCGGTTCAAACTCACCAGCCTCTCCTAAGAAACCCTATACAGAGGTTTTATGATTCGGCACCGACTTGACAGCACTTAACAACAGCAACCACCTATATAACATCTGCTCTGTATTCATGTGTCCTAAAATGTATTCCTATTCCCTGAGCACTTAAGTCCTGGTGTGGCACGGTAAGATAAGCACTGAACCGCAAAGTCAGTGGTTCAAACCCACCAGCCTCTCCTTGGAAACCCTGTACGCGGTCGCTGTGAGACAGAACTGACTTGATGTCACTTAAAACAAACAAGCACTTTGGAGATAGAGTAAGCCACTTTGGGGGAATTTTTTTTGCAGTGAAAGCAAGGAGAGAAAAGACTTATTTTCTTAGCCCGCAAAATACATGGGGAAAAGATCACCACCATTGGTTGTCTGGTTCCAGTGGATCCTTTATATTTTTCAATTTTAAACCATTTTTATCAGTAAGGTTCAGAAATAGGAATAAAAGGATGGTGATTGTTATTGTTGTTGTTAAGTGCCATTGAGTCGATTCCAATTCATAGCAGCCATTTATAGGATTTCCAAGGAGTGGCTGGTGGATCTGAACCACCCATCTTAGGTTACCAGTCCATTGCTTATACTATAGCACCATACCAGGACTCCAACCTTATTAACTTTTCATAGTAATGTAACCATTCATCTCAAAAGTGTTTATATCATTCAAGTTTGGCAGGCACATATCTTAAAAGATAAAACAATATTCTCATAAACCCTTTAATAAAATAGGATCGATGCTGTGGCAAAATACAGTGTGCTAAAGTACTTGCTGTAAAATGACTAATTGGATGAAAATGTCATATTTCATTTTGTTCCTTAGAAATTAATTGCCCTGTCATTAATTCTTGAGCTTGAGAAAGTTCATCTAGAATAGCATATCAAGACATTCTGAGATTCACTTATGTGATCTGTTTCGTCGTCATTGTGAATGTCTAGAGGCCGCTGTGTCTTTTCACTCCTCTCCCGGTGTTCCTAGTAACTGACCGTCTTCCTCTTCGTGCCCTCTCTCACCTAGTATTGGTGGGAAATTGAAAAATTTTGAATTTCCAACTGAGTTCAATGAAAACTAAAAGCAGACTACACAGAGTGGTGTCTCTAGTCTTCTTTTATACTTTCTTGAAAGACAATGCCCTATTTTGGGCAATGCAATAAGAAAACAAAGATGTGATTTATTTCATTTAGTATCTTCCTGGGTGATTCTTCCCATTTCCTATTATTTTCCTTTGTTTTTTAAGCATTTTCTGTTAAGTGCCATTGAGTTGGTTCTGACTCATAGTGACCCTGCGTAGTTTCCAAGGAGTGGCTGGGTGAGCTTGAGCCACCGACCTTGGGATTCAAACTGATGTTGCAGCATTGTTAGGAATAAAAGAGTAATGATAAAATAATTCCCAGAATGATGAAGTAGCAAAATATTTCAAGATCCAGGAAAACATAAGATCATTAAAATCCTAGTTAGTATGTAAATTAGGTGTAGAAAAGGTTAAGTGGACCCATAACCATACTTACAAGACGGTATGCGTCTATATGCCCGTTGTGTTTTTCTTTGGAAAACCACTAAGAAAGAATAAAAGTTAGGAAGCATTAGTCTTTATACTCCAAAAAAGAAACTCCCCACTAAAATTGGCTCCAGTGCACCTGGATGATATGTTGAATGTTACAAGGAGCAGGATTCCTGAAAGGCATTTTCTCATTGAAGACATTCGTAGGTCCAGGGAAATAAGTCAGCCAAAGACACTTTAGAGGACAATGGACTTGAGGAACCTGGGCGTGAGGTGGGGCCGGCCTTGGGATGAGGAAGCATTTCCTCCTCTCATTTGGAGGTGCAGAGCAGGAAGAGGCAGAACCGTCACCTGTGGCCTCCCATCTTCTTGGAGAAGTGAGGGGATGTGGGGACAGCTTCCAGGAGCGCTGGCCTGGTCTGTAGCGAGTGTCTTCAGGACCACCTGTCAGGAGGTGTGGAGAACTGAGCTGGCCTCACACGGGCCCAAACAAGTTTCCACGCGTGTGGTTAGCACAGAGAGTGTGCACCAAAGTAATAATCTCTATTTTATTTTATTTTTTCCTTCACGTTTATCTTTCCTTCTCCTGTTTAACAATCTATAACACTGTTAGAGTCAAAAGCTCTTTTTATATCCATCCTGTCTCTCCACCCAAAGAAAAAAACAAATAAGATGTAATACAGAAACATCAGTGTGTAATACACCCTCAAGCAACCTTGCGTCTACTCAGATAGCTACTGAAGAAATTGTTATATTTCTAAGAAGCAAATGGCCACAAATGTAAAATGTAAAATTATAGACTACATTATAGTACACCTGTAATTGCAAAACCGCTTTTAGACATCTGGCTTAAAGTTACAGACTGTTCTTTTATTTATATCTGACACCATTCTAATCATTTCAGGTAAAATGTTTACCTTAGATTGTGTGCTTGTCGATATTTTTAAATAGTTGTCAGAAAAGCAGAAGTGTCACTGATCTGTCCTTTTCCAAAGGTGACTAGCTGTGTCTGGGTCCCCGACAGTTGCCAGCTGTTCACCGGGAGCAGATGTGGTGTCATCACAGCCTATACGAACAGGCTCACCAGCTGCACGGTAGGCCTGTCCTCGCTTCATGGGGGCAGGGGGTTTCCATGGCCTCATGGGAAGGAAGAAAACCTTTGTAAATTCACTTCATTTTTTACAAAATTAACTTGAAAAAAAATTACATTTTTAATTACATATGTGTTCTCCCACATGAACTCTTAAAATGTAAAAGGTCACCTTATGAAACTCGTCATTGAGGTTTATTAGGATCCTGGTAAACTTTATGAATAAGTTTTAAAGTGTTATTGTATGTTTCAGAAGCAGTATTTTGGGTTTTGATCTGTTTTATATTTAGGATCTTTTGTTATATGTGGACGCTTGCCTATAGTCTCAATATTGTTGTCTTTTCCTTTTTTGTGATCAACTACCTCTGGTGCAATTAAGGAGAAATGACAAATGTAGGGTAGTCGTAAAAATTATCATTCTAATCTTTGCTTTTCTCTGGTTTATTTCTCCCAATATTATTTTGTCTATCCTATTAATTAGGAACCCTGGTAGTAAAGTGCGTTGTGAGTTGGGCTGCTAACTGCAAGGTCAACAGTTCAAATCTACCAGGTGCTCCTCAGGAGAAAGATGAGACTTTCTGTTCCTGTAAAGGTTTACAGCCTGAGAAACATTACACGGGGTCACTGTGCATCAGAACCGACGCCATGGCACACAACCACCATAACCACCATTCTGTTGATTGTGTTGTGTTTGTTAAGTGCTGTCGAGTTAGTTCTGACTCGTAGCAACCCTGTATAGGGTTTCCAACGAGCAGCTCGTGAGTTTGAATTCAAACCAGCCTTGTATTTCAGTGCTTATCCTACAGGGCCACATGAGGACTCTATTGATAAAGTAAAGTACTGGGTAAAGCCCGTATTCTTGGCATAGAATGAATCACAAGTCCTTCTTTCTTTGTGGTCCAGGCTTATTCCCTTTTAAACTTTAACTAAGGTTCTCTGAGTATAAATCTGACTTACCTTGTTTCTCCCTCTCAGCCTTGTTACAGAAGTTAGGCATGTGTGGAGCTCTGCAGGCTGTGAGGCATGGGTTCTGAGAAAGGTTCACACAGAGGAGGAAACACCAAATGTCAGGGCCCTGGGAAACCACACATAAACTGGAGCTGAGAGGACCCACTTGTGAATTCACTAAGTGCAAAAAAGAGGAAAGAACATTTCAGGCAGAGGAAACAGAGTTTCAGGCAGTTTTACGAAGTTATAAAGCTTACAGCACAACATGGACTCAAAGGCATGGTATTTTGTGATATGGTGAATAACTGTGTAACTGGAGTGTAACATGTGGGGAAAGATATGTAAAAACAGGGCACCGAAGCCACTGATAATGTTCTTATATGCTGTAAGAAATGTTACTTAACCTAGTCAGAGAAGTGGTGTGACTTCTGAAAGTCTCCTGTCTCACTGCCTGCATTCGGCCCAGCTGGGTTTACACACAACTCAGAAACCACACTCACATTCATGGGATGTTAGCAGGTTACAGTTTGGGGTCAGAAGTGTTCAGGGCACAGTTCTTCCATTCAGGACAGCCTCCCTCTGCTCAGGATGCCTCCCCAGGCAGGGGTCTCTCTGGCCCTCAGCCCCTTGGCCCAGCCTCTGCCTGCTCCAGCAATGTTACAAAGCCCTTTCAGAGCTGCTGATAAATGCTCACAGGGCACAGCACTCCTCCATAACCCACAACCTGAAGGTGCTCAGCTCTAGCTTCATGGGTCAGCAAACCTAACTCCCCAATTGTTGTTGTTGTTGTTAAAGTGTTGTCAAGTTGGTTCCAACCCATAGTGACCCTATATAGGGTTTCCAAGGAGCAGCTGATGAGCTTGAACTGCCAACCTTGCAGTTCAAATGACTTTGCAGTCCAGTGCATTAACCCACTGCACCACACCAGGATGCCAGCTCCCCAATTAAGTGCCTGGAAATGCCCTATTCCATAAATGAGCCTCCTGCCCAGAGGCACTCAGCGTTCTGCTCTGGGGTCTGTCTGGTGCTGTCTCTTCTCAGTTCTGCTACTGCACCTCCAGTGTCTCAGCTGTCTGTCCCTGGGTCCCAGAGGTCAATTGGCAGGGATCTCAGGGTCCAAAGGCTATGCACTTCACTCCTGTCTCATCTTCCTTGTTGGTAGTGAGATGCCCCTCCTGCGTCCGAGGTCTGAGATGACTCATTAAATTCCCACATTAGAGTTCCAAGTTTTCAAATTAACCCTGTTAACACCCACTCACAACTGAACCATCTAATCCATTGGTGTCTTCCCCCATCCTCTCTTACCCGGACCCATCAGGAAACGTCGTCGTTCAGTGGGAGCTTACAAAGACCAGCTAGAAGAGACATTAAATAATTCACTGCACTGCATTCCCAAAGGCTGAAAACGAATGCTAATTTTATCACATCTCTAATACTTACCCCTGGCATTGCATTTCTTCTCTAAGCTCACCCTTCTGTTTCATCTGTCCCACAAATAGACTCTTATCACTGCTGTTAGTGTTAAGCAGTTTTTTTGCTTACAGACTCAGATCACTTTGCACTATGACATAGTTACCTTTTTTTAAAGCAAGCTTCATCTTTTGCTTTTTATTTCCTCTTGCTTTTTCTGATACTTTGAGCAGCCTTGTTCTTAGTTTTCCTCATTTCTGATCTCTCTACAATTAAGATGTTTAATTGTACACTAATACAACAGGCAGTATAATAGATATTTAAAATTTAAAAATTGAAGTGTCTCTATAGGAGCATTTGTGTACCGAGTAGCTTTGAGCCTTATCAAAGTTGTAGCAATTATGATCTGAATATTCCAGGATATGGCTTTTTTTTCATTTTTAAGTTACATTAGACTTGTGAAGGCTTCTGTTGCTTACTTTTCCTGAGGTACTTGCCTGAAAACAGATTTTCCAGCTTAGTTATAAGGGTTTTATTTTTCTCCTAAATATTAGATAATTGAGTCATGAAATTACCAGTTACTATTTAAACCATGTGATGTGCTATAGGATAAAAACTGGGCTGCTAATCCAAAGGTTGACAGTTCAAACCCACCAGCTGCTCCTCAGAAACCCTATATAGGGCCACTATGAGTCAACCAGCTTGACAGCACTTAACAGCAACAACATTTAAACACTATCAAAAAGGCATGTGTGGTTTTATTGTTTTTAATGTCTTTATCAGCTTTACTCTTTAAAAAGGGATTGAAACATATGTTTGATAAAAATGCTTGAGTCACTTGGGGGTTTTTTTATTATTGAAATGCTGTGTTCCCTAGGCTACCTTTTATTGTGCTTTTTACCTTAAACTTTGACTAGCTTTTTAAATTCCAGCCATCAGAGATGGAGATGGAGTCTCAGACGCATCTGTATGGGCATACAGAAGAGATAACCAGCTTGTTGGTATGCAAGCCATACAGTGTGTTGATCAGTGTGAGCAGAGATGGGACGTGCATCCTGTGGGACTTGAACAGGTACAGAGGACTCTACCATAGGCAGGGCTACTTTCCAGGTGTCATTGCTGAGGGTCTGAAACACATGCTTTAGAATACTGCCTCTGTGTTGTAATCCTCTTAAGCATGGAATGCAAACTGGCTTTTAAAATGATACTGAAATCAAAAGATCAATTCAGGAAAATATGTATGCCTTATGAATACATACACTGAGGGAAATAATGATGCAAAAATAAAGATATTATAATGGCATTGAACAATCATATGTAATTCGTGCGTTTTTATCTTTCAGACTGTGCTACGTACAAAGCTTGGCCGGACACAAAAGCCCTGTCACAGCTGTTACTGCCAGTGAGACTACAGGTGATATTGCCACTGTGTGTGACTCAGGTGAGCAGCACCCACCACAGGGAAGCCCAGGGACGTGCCTTCCACAGCTCAGACTTCTTGTGGCTCTGCTCTTGCTTCGGATGTTCACGTTCTACCTTTGTTACATTCCTTCTGCCTAACTGATACGCAGTAGCAGATGACCCACTTTGAGTATATTTCTTTCAGTGCCTGAGAGAGGATAATGTTGTTGTTAAATACCATTGAGTTGGTTGTGACACACGGGATTTCTGGGAATCGGATGGTGAATTTGAACTGCCGACCTTGTGGTTCAAACAGACCTTGCAGTTGAATGCTACCCTACAGCATATAGTTTGCTTAGAATTTTACGTGGTCAAAATATATCTCTTAGACAAAGATTTTGGTTTGTTTGTTAGTTTTTTTTTTTTTAATACGAGGGGATGACAGACAGCCTTTGGGCAAACAAAAAACATTAGGCTTTAGCATTATGAGCTTGCTTTTTAAAAAAATCAAACTGCTGAGGAATTACAAACATTTTGAGCTTCCACCTGCCTGCACTCAGCTCCCACCCTGGGGACTGCCCCACCTATTGCAGAGCTTGGAGCACAGGGCTTGAGCGGACCCGTTCAGAGGGCAGACGCTCCCGGAGAGCTAGCAGGGCCACAGGAACTAGCGTGGTCTATCCCAGGTGGCCCTCATTGCCACGTTGGGCATTGTCAGCATGGATATAGGGCAAATTGGGGTGCTCACATCACAGGGAGACAGAGAGAGGCATTGTAGACGTCATCAGACACAGCCGCACCATCTGCCTGCAGCCACAACCCCCGCCCTCCACTTCTTTGGCCTAGGCCAGCCCTCTGCCCAGCCTCCGAGCCTCAGGCCCACCCATCAAGACGCAGGAAAGCCCAAACTCAGACGACCTTGACTAGTTGTTCACCACCAATAACAAAGCAATCCTGCTGTGGTTCTGTGGGTTAATGCGCCAGACTGCAAAGCCTTTTGAACTGCAAGGAATGTAATTTGAGCTCACCAGCTGCCCCTTGGAAACCCTATACTGGGTCGCTGTGGGTCACGATCAACTCCACAGCATATCAACAAGGAGAAGAGCTCAGAAGAGGCTGAAAGAGAGTTAGGACACTAAAGACTTACTTACATTAAGCTACGCTTTTTTCTTCTCTTTCTTCTGCCCCTCCTTTTTTTTTACCTTTTTCCCCATCGTTTTTTTTTTTTTTTTCCTGTTTTGTTTTTTGTTGTTGTTCTTTTGCATTGTTTTTCTCTCATTATCGCTTTTGTTTTTGATTTTGCTTTTGGTTTTGTTTTCTGCCCAACTGGTGTTGTTTGGCTGTCACATAGCCTCCCTTCTGCTATTGGAGGACTCTTTGTCCCCCTAAATTACACGAAAAGAGTCAGAAACTGCTTCCAAATAGCCAAGCTGTAATAACACTTTATAAAACACCAAAAGCCAGGCAAGAACCAAGACCAGCTGCCATAAACCAGGGAAACAGACAACACCTGTAAAAGTTACTCTGAGCTAAGCAATAAGAAGAGTGAAAAGGGAAGAACACATCCTGATCACATCTTCCTGGAGGTAATCAGAAAGCATAAAAAAGTACCAAAATACATAATTAATTACTAGGGACACAGACAAACATTAAACATGTCCAAGACGCAAAAGCAGATGACCATATCGGCACATGTCTAGAAAAAAGATAAAATATCTGAGACAAATGAACCAGAAGTAGACCTTCTCTCCGTGCTGGAAGGAGGGTAGGCCTTGGAAATACCTGAGAAAGAATTCAGAAAAATGATTATAAAATGTTTCAAAACACTTTACAATGGAGTTGAGAAAAATAAGGAAGCAATCAGAAAAGCGCTACAGGAACAATCAAACAAGATAGATACAGCATTGGTAACAATCCAAAACCTATAGAAAGAGGTCCAAACAATCAATAACAAAATGGGAGAAATAGAAAACTCTCTGAAAGGGCAGAGGAGTAGAATAGATGAGATGGAAGGAAGAATCAGTGAGCTGGAAGACAAGTCTCTCAATACCACTAAGATAAAAGAACAAACACAAAAAAGGATAAAAAATTTCAGAGGAAGGTCTAAGATTCACATTGGACAACATGAAGAGGAATAACCTAGGAATTATTGGCATTCCAGAACAAAATGAGTCACACAAGTCCACAGAGGAAATAGTCGAAGAACTACTGGAAGAAAATTTCTCTAACATCCTCAAAAGTGAAAAAATAAACATACAAGAAGCCCAACGAAGTCCAGGAAGGGTGGACTCCAAAAGAAAATCACCAAGACATATTATAGTCAAGCTCTCCAAACTCAAAGACAAGGAGACTCTCCTGAATGCAACAAGAGAAAACAGAAGGGTCGCATACAAAGGCGAACAAGTCAGACTAAGCTCAGACTCCTCAGCAGGAACCATGCAAGCGAGAAGGCAATGGGGAGACATATATAAAACCCTGCAAGAAAAAAATTGCGAACCAAGAATCCTTTATCCAGCAAAGCTATCAATCAAATATGAGGGTGTAATTGAAACATTCCAGGATAAACAGAAGCTATGGGACTTCACCAAAGCCAACCCTGTGCTACAAAACTTCCTTAAGGGAGTTCTGTGAACCGAGAACCAACAAGAACAGACAACAACCAGAGATTGACATACGTGGCAACACCTCCCTGAATTAAGTCAACAGAAAGAAGAAATGTTAACAAAATAAAACTATTAAGAACAAATTCACAGACTCTGGGAGGGCAGTCTTTGACCAAAACAAGTACAATGCAAAAGAAGGTGAACACGTAGGAACAGAGATCCAGACAGTGAGTAGGTCAGGTAGATTACAGGATAAAACAGACTGCAATAAATGAAGAGAGAAGTCAATGGACCATAAGGCAACCTCAAAGAAAATTAACACTTCACAGCATACCAAGAGAATGAGAATCCAAGAAAAATATGAAAACATTAAAACTATGAGGAAACGCACAAGAAAGAACACAAAAATATGAATTCAACAGAGAAAGACAAACAGAACAGAGAAGCAGCAACACCACAAAAAAAACAAATATAAGGCCAGCAAATAATCAATACCTATCAATAAGGAGCTCTGATAGTGTAGTGGTTACAAATTGGGCTGCAAACCTTGAGGCCAGCAGTTCGAAACTACCAGCCACTCCGCGGGAGAAAGATGAGGCATTCTGCTCCCGTAAAGATTTACAGCCTCGGAAACCATGTACAGGGTCGCTATGGGTCGGAAACGACTCGATGGCACTTAACAACAACAAATCGATAATTACACTGAACGTAATTGGATTGAATGCACCTGTTAAGAGATGGAGGGTGGCAGAATGGATAAGAAAACAAGATCCTTCAATATGCTGTCTGCAAGAGACAGAAACAGATTAAAAGTGAAAGGATCGGAAAAAATAGACCAAGCTAACTGTAATAAAAACCAAAAAGGAGTGGCAGTGCTAATCTCGGATAAAATAAA